CACTCGGATTGGGAAGGCCGAGTATTCCGTATACCTTCCTGAAAAAGCACGAAAAACAAGTGCTCATGGTCCAGTTGCCGCAGAGATCATGAGGATGGTGAAGAAGCCGGGAGGATGGAAGCAGAAACTATGGAAGGGAGACAAGTTGGAGCAGACAAGTTGGAGCTGCTGCTGCTTGGGATTCCAAGGAACATGACGAGGATAGAGTTCAAGAACTGTTGTGACAGGGAGGGACTGCACTGCCTAGCAAGGGGACAAGTAGGCAGATAAGATGAACACTTCCGGATGAAATTGACCAAGGGAGACAGCCAAGAGTGCTTGGGGGTTGATATCGAGAAGCTGTCGAACTACGTAAGGAAGTTTGGATGGAGGGTTTGCATCGCGAACATGATAGAAACAGAGAAGGTAAGGAGACAAGAGGCGAGGGCGACGGAGGCGAAGAAAGGACCGAGCAGGGTAGTCGAGCAGGCAGGTCAGAAGAACGCCGAGAAGAAGCGGAAGGTGAACGATAGAGTGCGCAAAATCTCCAATAGGGACAAGCACAAGCTGAGAGTCGGGTCTCGGAACGTGTGCGGGTTCGCAACGAGTAAGCGCAAGCGGTTGGAAATAGTGGAACAAGTAGAAGAAAGCGATCTAGATGTAGTGGGGATCCAAGAGACGTGGGAATTGAAGGATGGGGACGTGGTAGGCAAACTAGGGAAATACCGGTGGGTAGGGAAGGCAAGAAAGGGCTTAGACCCGAAGAAAAGGGGGGAGGGGGGAGTCGGATTCCTGGTCAAGGAACACTTGTTTGACGTGGTGGAAGTAGTGGTGAAAACGGAGTTCGAGGAAAGCCTATGGCTTAAGATACGTGGGGAGCGGGGTGAGAAAGATTTGTTTCTAGGGAACGTATACGTCCCACCGTCGTCGAAGAAAGTCGCAAGCAAGGCGCAGGAGAACTTTGGACAAATTGGGGAAGATGTCCAGAGGTTCATCAGGAAGGGAGAAGTTGTCATGGTGGGT